AAACCCAACGAGGGTCAATAGCAAAAAGAGTGGGAACTGCTGTGTCGAAGTTTAAAATGCTGGTTCGTAGAGGCATCACCTTCCCTGCTTTTTCTGATAGAGAATTTCACTGATCAGAATCATTAGCTGAGACTCACCTAGCTGCCTCTCACTTTTTTGGCAAGTGTCAATTTAGCAGAATTAACCTAAGCCTTAGCACGTTCTTACTGTAGTTTTGAATTACATTTATGTGGTGTCATTTCTCATGCGTGTTTTTCAGGCTTTCTGCATGTCTAGTTTATAATTGAGAGGGAAATATAACTATGAATGCTGAAAGCTGACTTTGCAGAAAGCACGTTTCCTTTATCAGCAGTTATGTTCTACTGATGCCAACATACTGAACTGTTAAAAAACGCGCTCTATTTAATTACAGCGAAGTGATGTCCCAGCAAGCCTCTCTCTGATAAGTATAATTTGTGTTTTTATTGTGAATAATTTCCCTAAATATTTTGGCAATCTGGCATGAGGACGCTGCTAAGCGATGTTGACACACTTTTCCTGTTTGGAGTTGGCTTGTTCATGTACAGTATGTTTAATCTAATCATCATATCCTGACAAAGCATGGCATGAGTGTGAAACTCAGTGGCAGAAATAATTTCGATTACAAAAACTAGCAGTCTTCTCAACCAGAGATTTCCAGTTGCTGAAGGAGTGTACTACTGTGGTGGTGGTTCTCTTCCTATGAAAATACTACTTTGTTTTCCACAAAATATCTTTTATCACAGGGATAACTGATGAAATTTAGTGTTCGGTTGTCATCACTAAACAGGTATAATGGTGAGGACATAGGTTAAGCCAGATTGAAATGTGGCCTTATTTCTTAACTCCTGTAGTGGTTGGAAATCACTGGAAAATCAAAGCTTTGGGAGAACCTTCAAGGCAAAACTATACAGTGAAAATGCATGTTCTTTTAATTTCAGAATATTTATGTACCTAGTGAGAAGATATAGACAAGGAAATCTAAGTTTCTCTAAGTAGTATAAGATTACAAAAAGTCGCAGCAGTTGAATGATGGTGCTGTGCTTTGACAAGTTTTTATTAATTCAGGAGATGGCAAGAAGGTTTTGCAAACAAGTATTTCTGTAAATGGATTGAACAGTACATAATCAGAAAGGAATAATCTTCTATCCTTTCAGGTTGACCCACAGCTTTTACTAATCCTGTGGCGTAGCCATCCAGTCCTGCAGGCAGGAAGGCAGTTTGGGGTATGTTTGCCAGGTGAACTGGTAGTCACCCCGCTTCCCCTTGTGAGCGTTGTGCTTGGCTTTCCCGACAGCCTCTGGTGTGCCATAATTGCGTGGCTCCGTGGGGAGAAGCTGCCTGGAGATCCTGACAGTAACGGTGTGAGTGTGATGTTTCCAAGGCTTCTGCATTGGAAGTATGTTGTTACCTGTGGAAGTAGGGAGGGGATGTTTGTCAGTGGAGATGGACTGGGCCCTGATAAGCTGTGCTCCTCCAACAGCAGCTTCTGATGGGGCGAAGGACAAGGCGATGCCTCTGCTGCTGCTCCTTGCCTCAGTGTGGGTCTCTGCCATCTGCTTGGTGTAAATGGACAGGATGCAGACAAGAGAAGGGAACAGATGATCTTGGCTTTGAGACAGGTTACTCCTGCAGTCAACCAAGGGGACGGTTGTGAACTCCCAGGAGGACTTTCTGCGTGAGTCGCTCCCAGTGGAGCTCACATTAATGTTGGGTGGGTTGTGAGCAGGAGGCATGCATTGCAACCCCTTGCTGCTGCCTCATAGAAAGTTTTCATGTCAGCTACTACTAAGCATCAGCCATCAGAGCTGTTAGATCACAGCCAGCACAGGGTTACACCTTCATTACTGTGCTGGTACAAATCATTAAATGTTGACTTTGGGTTTTTTTGCATTTACTTGCTCAAGTCCACTAATACTTGAATGAGATTAGTATGGCTATAGTTGGCCTTCTAGTAGAAGCTGAGAACAACTACCAGCTCCACAGAACTGGGATGCAAGAGAGTGTAATATGGTGGGTGAAAGTATTTGATGAATGAAAGGCAGCTTTTGAGCTGTACCGCTGCTTAAGAACTGCTGCATCTTGAATGCATTGATAACTGTAAGATTTTTACACTATCGCTCAATCCTATGTCCATACAAAGCTATTTGGCAAAATGTTACATTATATAATTGAATATGTGGTAATGTGTGTGTATGAAGACCTAATATTGTAAGGTATGGTTTCAAACCAAAGTACTTGCTGAGCACATCCCAGAGTTAAAGGCACAGTTGTGCATCTATCAAGGTACTTATAATGATGCATTTTACTCTTCTGAATTACCGATCTATCTATTAGCAGCCTATTTATGTTGCAGTTTGGGGCACATCAGGAAGAATGCCTGTGGCTTGCCAAGTGAGTCACTTCAGTGTTTATAATCTCTTGGTGATTTGCCAGGTAAACGTCTGTGCCAAGTTTAGTTTCTGGTGTGATCAGGAAGTGATACAGGAGGATGCACTGAGGACTTCCCCAGCCATCTCCCCTCAGCACCTTGGCAGGAATGTGGCAATTATCTTGTGCTTTAAAGAGGAAATTTTCAAAGGCATGTAGAGCTAAATCTCATGCAGAAATCACTGAGGTTCCCTTTGAACGTCGTAACGTTTTCCCTTTTCATATCCTTCTCTCAAGCTCAAATAATCAAACATCTTTTTAAAAGGAACTACCCAATCCCTGAGCATATGTCCTCCTAGGAAAGCTTGCTTACCTGATGACATTTACTCCCTCTTGCTTCTCTGTGTGTATATTAGTGTCACGATTTCATTCATTTCCCCCAGGGTTATTAGTGTGGAATAACGTATTTAACTTACTTCGGTGGGCCAAATTTGCCATCATACCTTTGAAAAAAAAACCTATGAGTGCTTCTGCAATAGTGGAAATGGCAAGCATCAACTTAAATGTTTTTACTGTTTAAACTTTCGGATTCCTTTTACGTGGCTTGGAAAGAATCGTTCAAGATGATCTCATGTGGGGAGCTCCTGTGAATTGTTCTGAATCCTGTGAGCGTGATACGAGAGGCTTGGGGGCTTCTGTTTAATTTTGATTGTTAAAGGTTAAAATTAGGTGCAAAGAGGTGGTTGTTTTTATGCTCAGGTGTGTGCATATACTCATGTGGGACCAGCCACCAGAAAATAGTATTTTTATACAGTAACTTAACTGTCACATGGATTTGAAAATCAACTTTTTACTTTTTTTGGAAAGAAAACTTTCATATAATACAGACATTGTTTCATTTCTGTATTTAATACATATAGAAAACACTTAAATGGTATTGGCCATTGTAAACAATATAAGGACTTCATTTACTCTGAAACATGGATGGTATATTTTACAGGTGTTCCTTTCCTAGACTTCTCTTTTTATTTCCTTCCGATGAGACTACATGTTTCTTACTCATCTTCTTTCAGAAGTGATTTTTGCAACGGGACAGTATATCTGGGGTAGAAGTTCTTTAATAGGAAGAACATGGCCTTGTGATTTACCAAGTGAAGTCTTGCAAGATGTTTTCTGCAAGACATTTATGCCCATCTGCTGTTTTGTGCTTTATGAAAGCCAGCTGTCACCTAGGCTCTTCAGGCTTTTGAGAGTCTGGTGATTTTTGATGCTTCTTGAAACACTTCATCACTGTCAGTAAATAAACAGAGTGGGTCTACTCAGCTGTATTTGAGCATTCCTGGACTTGGCACTTATTTTGCTAGAAGACAGAAGTGTGTCTACTGGTGCAGATACTTGAGTTGATCCCATGTCAATCATCTACTTGAGTTTATAGGACTTTGTCTTCATTTTTATTCCTTGAGTACTTTTAGGAGCTCTTGGCTTCCTTTTGCATTCTACTTGAGCTCTAAAATGTGAATGAATCTAACTTACCTAGGCTGGAAAGAATCTTTCCCAGGTGCTTTTGATCTTTTTCAGCTGAATTTACCATGTTTGTCCATGGAAGCACAGAAATAATACATTTCAAAATCATGTATTTCCCTTAATATGTCTTACTGCGTACCAGTGCTTCTCATCAGCCTATTACTGAAATATAGAAAATGTGGATTAGCCTGCTGTCCAATAGCATGAAGAACATGCCCAGTTGCAGTATAGCTGCCCATTAGAAAAGTCTGCCAAAGAACTGAAACTTACATTCTTAGTTTGTCCTTCCAGGGCTCCTCTTCCCTCATTCTCTCTCTCTCTTTTTTTTTTTTTTTAGCTCCTTTATAAAAAAACCTAAAGCTTGGTGAATTTTTGTTTTTTCTTTTGTTTAAGGACAGGGTATGTCAAAAGGAAACATGTAAATTTTGTAGCCATTTGCTGCGTTTGTTATAATAACGGCAGAGAAGCTGAAGCCCTCTGTCAGCAGGGCCCAGGGAAGAGAACAGCTAGAAATAAAAGGAGATTCTGACTTAGTGTGTATTTCTAAGACTAGGAAACAAAAGTGTAAGTGAAAGTGAAGCTACTGCTGAACGTGAAGTTTATCACTGTTGCTGGGGAATAGCATATGCCTTCTTCAGGACTGCTGTGAACTTGGCTAGACAAAATAGGTGGAAGGGCAGAAGGTGGGGAATGTCTGCATCCTATTATGAATGGGAGGAAATGACTGTCTGCGCTCTGTACGCTGGTGGGCTCAGTATCCTGCTGGCAGGCTGGTTAGCGCTGTAGGATACCAAACAAAAAGTGGTGAATTGTCAGCTTTGGTCTTTAAAATAACTACTAGGGATGAGAAGAAGTTCTTGAAAAATATGCTGTGGGTTTTCTGTTGGCTTTCTTAAACTAACTGGAAACTTTCTGCTTTCTTTCAGGAGCATTTTTTCTCTGAAAACATTGCTGCTAAAAAGCTCCAAACAGGAGAAGTAAATCCAGTCAGCTTGTCAGGTCACTGGCTCAGTGTAAAAGCGCTTTCATGAGGTAACGCTGGGCCAAAGTCAACTTTTCTTTCTCCTTTGTAAATCTGCAGCCAAGCAATGGGCCAGAAAATCTCAGGGAGCATAAAGTCTGTGGATGTGAGGGAGCCCCCTTATAGACCTGTTAAACGAGAGCTGAGAGGCCCGGATTTTTGCAAGCCGGCACGACTGGACATGCTGTTGGATATGCCCCCTGCCAAGCTGGAGGTCCAGTATAAACATGCTTGGAATAATGAAGATCGCTCCTTAAATATATTTGTAAAGGAAGATGATAAACTGACTTTTCATAGACACCCAGTTGCCCAAAGCACAGATTGCATCCGGGGCAAAGTCGGCTACACGAGAGGCCTGCATGTCTGGCAAATCCACTGGCCCACGAGGCAACGGGGAACTCATGCTGTGGTGGGCGTCTCCACGGCCGAAGCTCCACTGCACTCGGTGGGATACACGTCGTTGGTTGGTAGCAATAGTGAATCGTGGGGCTGGGATCTGGGACGCAACAAACTCTACCACAATTGTAAAAACCAGCCTGGGGTCACATATCCTGTCTTTTTGGAACCGGATGAGTCTTTTGTACTCCCAGATTCCTTACTGGTGGTTTTGGATATGGATGAAGGGACGCTTAGCTTCATGGTAGATGGACAGTATCTTGGAGTGGCCTTCAGGGGACTAAAAGGGAAAAAACTTTACCCCATAGTCAGTGCAGTTTGGGGGCACTGTGAAATTACAATGAGATACATCAACGGACTTGACCGTAAGTGTTACCATATTTCTTCATTACACTGTCTTTCAACTTTTCTCATGTAGGATTTTTTTCTTTATCTTTTTGTTGTGAACAGAGTGTGCAGGGGGGGGGGAGTGGACTGTCCACTGTGAGTAGGTTGCATCCCATAGCTACTGGCCATAGCTAGTATCAGTCAGTTATGTCTTGTAATGATGGTATGGATCGTATCAAAGTATCTTCCCATTTGTCAAGCAGAGTGGCAAGAAATCTGTGTCCAAAGAAAGTGAACAGGCTGAGAAAAAATATCTTGAGAAACTTCCTGGGTATATTTAACAGTAAAACTCTTGTTTACTGGAGGATATGTTTTAAATCTGTGGTTTTCAAATAGGATTTGTGGATCCTGTAGAAATTTCCTGTAGTAGTGGGAACTCTTACATGGTGTGTATAAACATACTTGAATTCAGGCCAGTAGGCTTTCTTTCCATAGTTGCCTTTCCAGGACCCTCAGAAGCAGCTGTGGATCCCCAAAAATCTGGGACCTCAAGTCAAATATTGCTTTCAGCAGTTTTTCTGAAAGAGAGCTCTGTTCCTTAGTTCATTACAGAAGGTGCTCTCTCAGGGTATTTTCTTCTCCAGAAATATGGGGTTTTGGATAAGCATTAGCTATTTTTGATCTAAAGGGGTAATAATCAAATTAAATCTTACGTAGTAAGGAGCAGCATGTTGCTGCTGTGACCTTGAAGTTGTAGCTCACTAGAAGATGAGTTGCAGAACTGAGTCTTGCCCAGTTCTTCTCATTATTCGGGAAGACATGTGCTCTGCCAGGTCCATACATGGCACAGTGTACGTTTGGTCCTGCCCAGTTATCTACCGTCAGCGGCTACTGTGAATTGGGGAATGGAAGGCTGAACGAGGTAGAAAGTGGAACTTTGTTCTTGTTTAAGACTGTGTTATCTGAGCTGTAGGAGGAACCATGAACATAAATATATAGATTTAACAAAAATTGATGACTGAAAAAACTTTCACGGTTTTTGGGCTTTATGACTGGAACTTGTTCTTGTAAAAAGAGAACAATAGCAAGTGTACATTGCCTGCCTTTCAATTAGTAATTTCTAAAAGAACTTGCTATTCTTTTCAATTAGGATGGGGTATTTAATTTTTTTCTGTCAAAAATTAATTCTCTGCTCATTAATCTTACATCTGACATACAAAGTAGAAACATAATTAAATAATTTGACCCTGTTTAAGATTACCTTTTCATAAACATCTGTAATAAGCACTGGGGGAAAGAATCTTTATCCACAGAAGTCTTGCAGGTTATTACAGCCAGATGCTAAATGGCAGCTTCCTGAGTGCTTTCATACAGGGAAATATCAGAGGATTGTAAGTATTTTGCAATTACTCAGACACTGCAGAGTGGTGTGCTGACAGCCTTTTTTTTTTTTTTTTGGAGGGTGGTGGGGGAGAGATACTTTTGCAAGCTGAATATTTGTGTGCGAAAGCAGTTTTTGTAATACTGGGAATATCTGCCAAACTAAGCAAAGTACAGCTCGGCTTGGTCCACCGCGTCCACACACGGAATCGTTCTGCATTCCTTTTGTAGCCTTCACAGGGCTGCTCAAGGGAGCTCTAGAAAGATGAAAACACAGGAGGAGGATGTGAATGAGTTTGGTAGAAATTATAAAACAAAAGGGGCTAAGTAGAGAAAGATAGCTGTGGTCTGTGAGGTGGCAGAGAGAAAAATTCCCATCCGGTTTCTCGTGGGATAATTTTGCTGGAAGAGGCAGGATAGCTTCCTAAACTATCCCTGAGAAAGTCAAAGTAGTCTTTTTTTTTTTTTTTTTTTTTGAAGTGTGAACCCATGACTAAAAGTAAACTTGTAAACTTAACTTTTATGTAGGCCTGAGTCTTAATCTGATCATGTGAAGAGGAAGTTTAAAGGCACTTTGCCTTGGGGCAGTTTGACATCCTGGAATCACATAATTTGTTATCACATGTTCACTGATCCATTACTGTCCAGCAACAAAAACAGCATTCAGGAAACCAAAGTAGCTTTTTTTAGCTGGTGCTCTAAAGCAAACACCTTCTCTTCTCTGTAAAAGTGTTTCTATCCAGGCAGCCCTTGTGTAGCAGTGGAAGTTTGGTCATGGCACTCTTCATGTTCACTCTGATAGCGCTTAGTATTACAGGTTTTTATAATTGTTTGTTCTTGGGAAAAGTGGAGTAGATCTTGAAGAGCAGTGAGATGCTCATGTAGTGTTCACAGGTTTAAACACACTTGAACATACATATGTGTGGGGTTTTTTTGTTGTTGTTTGCTTCCTTTCTAACCTTACAAATTCTCTCTCTTCCTCCCCACCTCCCCTTCCTTGGAAGTATCTCGTTCTGCTGATTGCAGCTTTTAGTAGATCTGGCAATAGCAACTTAGCTGTTCTTGAAACTGTGCTGTCAAACTGTGACTTGCTATTTACTGATTGATTGTTACCACTCAGAATGCATACCACAGCTTGCAGTGGTTGTTTATGTGGTGTCTTACAGAGCAAATGCAGACCTCGACTGCAGAGATTTCTAGTGTTTTCAATACTTGCTGTTTAAATAGAAGACTTCTGAATACTTCAAAGGCCTGTGTATTTTAGTTGCCTGGCAAAGAGTGAAAGGCTTGCAGGAATGGAAGAGTGAAAGGATCAAATGATGGGCTTGTGCAGCTGCAGTGAACTTAAACATATGTCGTAGTGGTATACAGACAATGCAGACTTTGAAGTATGTTAATTACTGCATAGATGGCAGAATCATAGAAGGATAAGGCTGCAGGTTAAAGATCAAGAACCTGTGTGCCCTCTGGACTCTGGATATTGCTCCTAGAATAATGCTGTGGTTAAAATCAATCGTAGTTCTTCCAGCTGCATATAGTACCCAGAGTATTCTGCTTCAGAAGCTTACTTTGAGCATTACATGATGATATGATGTGACTTTTCACAAGAGTTTTTCACTCACGTTTGAGAGACTTAGAGTTGCAAATATTTGTCAAGGTTTGGGAGGGAAAGCAGGGGGACAGGATAGAAAGTGCTTATCATACTCATCATAAGCACACTGAGTTCTTCTCAGGACAAACTTCTTTGAATCCTATCAGTATTTACTACACTGATGTTTGCCCAGTGCCTAAGTTTTACAGAATTTTACATCAGTCTTCTGACTCATTGCCTATTGTAATAATTAAAAAACCCAAATAGCATAAAAGCAGTATAAGTTATTTTTAATATGTTTTTTCTCATCAGGGTTTGTTCATGTTTTAAAAAAAGCTAGGCTGTTTGTATCTGTTGTCTGATGAGGAGTCCTGAAGACTATTTATAGACTGGAACAGAGAAACAGCAAGACACTTTTGTATAAATGTACGTTGCAGATTGTGACTGATACATTAGTACTTGTGTGTTTAAACATAGCGGCAGGAGGACAATATCACAGTGCTGTGGTGGAAAACTTAGTCATTGAGGAGGTGAGTTGAACGCAGTGATTTATTTTGATCCTTAATAATACCTGACAGAATAGTCAGTATTTTGACTTCCAGGAGTCAGAATACTTTTTATAAGTGTGCATGACAGGTCCAGCTGTGCCCTGTTCTGAATCAATGTGGAAGAGCAAAGCAGATGGTCTGTAGTCTGTATATAATAATAATAATAATAATAGGTGATTCACAAACATAGAACTTGATAATGCAACTCATTACAAAATTTAGAATTTAGTATCTTCCTAGGCTAGAGTTGGGAGAGTTTGTCGGGCTCTGCTGGTCTTGGAAGCCATCCCACGTGCACACATCAACACAGCACACTCTCAGTAGTGTCATGAAGAAACATCTGCAGGTGTGCATCAGCACTGGCCTTCTGGCTATCTCCAAAAATGCCTGCTGGTAGCACTTTCAAATTTCTTCTTCTCCTAACATGGACTCTTGCTGAAAGTACGGTGCTGGCTGCTACAGCTGCTGCCTTGAGGTGAAGCATCTGGTTGGGACACATTATGGGATGCGTCCTAATTACAGACACTGTCTCCATGTGATTGTGATAATTTTAAAGAAAATTACAACTTGCCAATCTCTTGATGAAACTGTTGACTCTTGGGCATTTGCATGAAGAAAGGGTAAGTCAATGTTTAAATGAACTCTTAAGAGTCTTGAAATTGCATGTGAAAGGAAACAACTCTGAATTCTGTATTACAACATGTTGAGTAGACTACAATAACTGAAGATTAAAAAATCGCACCCCACTGCCGCCACTTTATATGTTTCTGGTTATAAATCCCAAAGCTATTTCTTAGAGATGAGTAAATTTGGCAAGATTTTGGGGTAATGCTGCCCAACCAACTTTTTGGTAATAATGTCTGATGTCCAGTGTAGCCGTGTTTTACTATTAGAATTTCTTTTGCTTTTTAAGTTCCAAAAGAATAACTCCTGTTTTGGTTGAAAATAAATTGTAAGACTTTTTAAGATAAACCATAGTATCCCATTAGCTTCCTTATTCTCTTCCATTCAGAGTTTAGCCATCTTGTCTTAAACTTATATTTTCTTAGATCCAAGAATTACATTTATGAGACGTTTGGGACATTGGCTGATCTTTATGCCTGAATCTCCTCCTCTTAAAATTAGGAATCTTGATTTCAAAATAGTAACTTTCAATTTCCCTTATGTAATGGTACAACTACTTTGAAATATTCTATAGCAGACTATTTATTTCCTTTTGTGTGGTATTTATGGTTCTTCTTGCTATTTAGATGCGGAAGAACGGTTCTTGAGCTTGATATTGATAGCCCGTTGCGGTTCTTGTGCTAAACTTTGCATAGCCCTTACACAATTTCGAAAATAAGTCTAATTGTCAAATTCAGGGAGCTGGAAGCATTTGTCACAAAAGAGAAGGCAGCTTCTCCGTAAATGTCATTTATGGAAAACTTTTGTGTGTACCAGTTCATATTTTAACCTGCAGATCCTTCCTGTAGTGTTAGGTACTTACCGACAAGGGTCCCTAGGCTCGTGCTCTGTCAGC